TATGAGTTTTGACAAATACATACTCCTGTGTAATCCAAAACTCTATCTAAAGCATGATCATTACCATCAACCCAAAAAGTTCTCTTATGCCTCTTCCCAATCAATTTCCACTTCCCTAGATGTAACCACTATTCTGATTTTTTCTACCATAGATCATTTTGTATTTTATAGAATCACATATGAATGGAATCATACAATATGTATTCCTCTTTTGTGTCTGATTTATTTCTTTAAGTATAATCTTTTTGATATTCATCCATGTTGTCCCTATCAGTAGTGGCTTTCTTTATATTGCAGATTAGTATCATATTGTATGAATGCACGTTTATATATTCATTCTCCTTTTGATTGACACCTGCACTCTTTTCATTTTTGGGGGGGAGGGGTATTATGCATAAGGCTGCCATGACCAGTCTCATAAAAGTCTTTTTGTAAACTTCCATTTTTTGGGTAAATACCTTGGAGTGGAATTGCTTGGACTGCATGCTTAATTAAGGTGCTTGCTTAATTAAGTAAAACAACTTCCAGATGATTTCAAAGAGGTTGAAAACCAGCAATATGCGAGAATTCTGGTTGCTCTACATCTTTGCCAACATTTGATGTTATTAATCTTTAATTTTAGCCAGTTTAGTGACTGCTGTAGTATCTTACTGTGATTTTAATTTGCATTTCCACGTTGATTAGTGATGCTGAATATGTTTCCACTGGCTTTTTAGCCGCAGGCATATCTTGGAGATATTACAGGTTCAGTTGCAGACCACACAATAAAGCAACTATTGCAATAAAGTGAGCCACATAATTTTTTTCAGTGCATACAAAAGTTATGTTACACTATACTGTGGCCTATTAAGTGTGTGATAGCATTATGTCTAAAAAACAATATACATACCTTTATTAAAAATGCTTTATTGCTAAAAATGCTAACCATCATCTGAGCCTTCAGTGATTCATAAATTTTTTTGCCGGTGGAGTGTCATACGTTGATGTTGATGGCTGCTGACTAATCAGGATGGTGATTGCTGAAGGTTGGGGTGGCTGTGGCAACTTCTTAAAATAAGACAACAGTGATGTTTGCCTCATTGAGTTATTCTTCCTTTCCTGATTTCTCAAATATCACTGATCACAGATCACCATAATAAATATAATAATAATAATGAAAAAGTTTGAAATATGACACAGAGATACAAAGTGAGCAAATGTTGTGCTCAATCCAGGGTTCCCACAGACTTTCAATTTGAAAAAAAACCCACACTATCTGTGAAGCACAATAAAGTGAAACACAGTAAAACAAGCGATACCTGTATTTATTTTTTTTTCCCTTTGTGAGATCATTTGGCCATCTGCAAAACTGGTTTGTTTGTTTTTACTTTTGAGTTGTATAAGCTCTTTATATATTCTGGGCACAACTTCTTTGTCAGATATCTGTTTTGTGAATATTTTCTCTCAATTTGGGGATTACCTGCTCACTTTACTGTGTGTTTTGATGAATTAGTTTATTTTTATACCTCCTGCTATCCTCATGCATGGTTCAAACTTGATACTATTTACTGAATAAAAGAGCTGAAAGTTGTTCCTCCCTCATTTCCTTCCTTCCTTTATTTAGCGACACTTACTGATTACCTACTACGTTACAGCCCCTCTTCTGTGCTTTTGAGGATACAACAAAAAGCAAAACAACACAAGTTTCCTAATCTCATGGCACTTGCATTTTAACCTATAGGTATATGGTGGTAGGATAGGAGATAGAAAAACAAATAAACAAGAAAATAGAGGTAATTATAGGTACCATAATATAAAAATGCACGGTATTACTAATGATAAAGGGATGATTAGGGGCCTTTTTCAGGTTGGAGGGTCAAAAAACTGAAGAGATGATATTTAAACTGAGACCAGAATAAGAAGAAGCCATTTTTTTCCCTGAGTGAAAGGGATCTCAGGCAGAGGGAACTGCTTATAAAAAGGTCCTTAGAGTGATTTGGGGACTAGGCACAAACTATACAAAATGCTCCTTTAGACAAACTAAGGTGTCAAGGATTGGTTGCTTTGGAAATTATCATAACTGGAATAAGCTGATGCTATACTGTTACTCTTTCTTAGTACTGCAGTTCTTAGTAGTTTCTCAACATCTTCCCTAACCTCCACCCCACCCCCTGCTCCTAGGATCTAAGATGTTTTGAAGATGGGAATTGTGGATTAGCTAACACAATGGTCATCTGGGTTAAGGCTAGGTCAGGAAATTTTTCCCATCAAAGGTAACCAAGTGATAGATGAAGTAAATCAAGGGTTGCATAAGTAATAAGTAACTAAATTTGTCTTTATAAGATAATAAAATATGAAATGTTCTACCTCTATTTTTTATATTTAGATTATGCAATGTAAGAGTCTATAAATAAAATATCAATTTGATAAGTGGGATATAATTTATTTCTAAATTTTTCCCAGTTTAGAGAGAGATGAAAGAAAAGGTGATGGGAAGGGATAGTGGAAGATGGAGATAGAAAGTGTAATAGAATGAAAAACATAGGTGAAGAAATGGAGGTATATCAACCAAGAAGAAGAGTGAAAGAGTTCTAGAGGGAGGTAGAGTAGCTGAGAAAAAAAAACTGGATGAAAGGGAAACCAGAATTTAGTCTTTGTGTGTGTTCCTATCACCCTTGCATGACCTTGGGCTATGGGCACCATAGTAGGTTATTGTTTCCTTTGAAAATGTGATGGTGCCCTCTAGTAAAATTTAGCACATACTTTTCTTCTGTGTTTCCCTTCTGATGAGCTGATTCAGTTCTACACTAATGCCAAATTCCTTGTATGATTTATTTCCCTTTGAATTAATAAAACAAACTGCTATGCCTCTACTACCCGTTCTCCCATGCTTCAGATGGAAAGTTGCCTATAACCAAAATAATGCCTTCTGGTCCTCATGGATTGGACCACTATTATAGGGCAAATCCCATTTCTACTGTCAGGATTTTGGACCAAAAAATAGTGTGGTTCTGACAGGACTTATGCTAAGTACAGATAGTTTATAACCTAGTGGGTCAAACTAGGCCCTGTGGAGACGAGCAAGTTCCATGTGAAAATCATAGACCATCTGGCTGATGACTTACTGTACTCTAGTAAAGGTCTAAGGAGTACAATTAGCTGGGCATCATTCTGGTCAGAACTGCTGGAAATAGGGCAATAACAGATTTGGAATTATCCTAAAGGAGTGCGATGGATGACTGCTTCCTGATACTCTCCATTAGAAGAAGCTTGACTGAGATTGGAGAGAAAAAAAGCATCCTAATATGCAGGATTGGTAGCTAGAAATTTAATATGTATATATGTCCAAGAAAACAATTAGTCAAAGTATATAGCTACACAGATCAGCCATGAACTGAAGATATATGCTGTAATTTAAAAATTATAGACTGAACTATAGCAGGAGCAGCAATCCTGTAAAGGGAGATATGAAAATAAACCAATGAAGGGAATTTAGCAGTTTATGTAGGATATGCACTAGATCATCAGATTGGAAAGACAGAACATTCTACTTAAAAGGAAGCAATTGGATACCCCAAAACTAATGTAGACTCTGCAATATTGGGGACTCTAAGTCCCAAGTCAGTTCTCTTGTCAGTTCATTCTAAAGTTGCAGGATTGGCATATGAAACCTCTGGGCATATGGAATGAATGTCCTAGGTAAGCAGAAGAGAAAGAATAAAGTAAAAGCAACTATGAATCAAACAAGCAAACAAGTAAGCAATATGAGGTATGTCAAATGAGTAAAAACTTGAATCTTTGACAATATATTTTTTATTAAAATATATTTGACATGCAATGTTATATTAGTTTCAGGTGTACAACATACTGATTTGACATTTATATTCCTTACAATGTGGACACCACAATAATTCTACTAACCATCTGTCACCATACACTTATTATGATAATATTGACTATTTTCCCTATATATTAACACGTATAGTATATCTCTATGACTTATTTGTTTTTATATATAACTCATTTTTAAGGGAAGTGGTGGTGGTAAGCCAGACAAACATGACAGGTAGATTATATTGGGCCAATTCCTAGATGTTTAAACAAAGGCTATTGCTTTACAGAAGCATAAGCCCTTAGAAAGACTTGCAAAGGACACCAGACATGCAGATGAGAATAGTATGACTATGGCTTTTAGACAAAGTTAGAGGAACTATATGCCAGATATGGAATATTGGCAGCAATAAGAAATAACCAAGGAACTAATTTTATAACAGAAATTGTCCAAAATTTGTAAAAAGAAAAAATGTTGGACTTTAATTTACCATAAATTTCCTAGGCTGCAGAGGCAATTGGAAACTTTGATGAATGGATTCTTAAAAACATAGAAAGAATTTATCAGCACCAGATATAAATGGCGACGAGACACAGATGCTAATAAAGACAGAATTAACTGAAAGACTCTGAGTGGATGTATCTTCCTCAATAGAGTTGTTCAAGAAAGATAGACAAACTACCTATGCTCACTTTGTTCTCAAATTCTCTAAGAGATAAAGACCATGAAATGTTTAAAGGAGAATGTAAGTAGTAGATTCTTATAAGGTCCTCAAAAGAAGAGGATCAATAGCTAGGGCTACCCTTTCAACTTTATCCTATAGTCAGAACCTGTAGGATTGATAAAGGCTCAAAGATATTAATCTTTATATTTCTATTTTCTATTATTAGATCTGCTTTGCTGTTTTCTTTTGGCTGTGACAATCTTCCAGATTGCCATTATAGTAGCAATTCACCACCGGTACCAACAAGAATACCATATGTGATTTTGTGGGAGGTTCACCAACTTTATCAAAAATTGTTATAGGACCACTGGACTCATTCTGTACTTGATCATCATAATTATATCAACAGCCTGATTTCTGGACCAACCAACTACAGAACTATCGTCAGCCCCCACAGGATTCATTGTCGCCAAGAGTCCATTTGCTGCAGCTTTTACGATTATTTTATCTTCTGAGAAGAACAGCATGGAGTCTCTGTCAATCCCTGAACTAATTAGTGGACTTATTGATTGTGTTGCTCAGTTAATAAGAATAGCTGAAGAGATTTTGCAATTATTTTCACAGGAACAAGTTCCTTGTGTAGAGCAAAATGAGGTAGCAGAACAAAATGAGGTAGCAGAACAGGTAGAAGTAGATTCCTCTCCTTCTGAGGAAGGTTCACTACCAGACCTCGCTGACTTTTCAGACTTGGAATCAATACTTACAGTAAGAGAAGAAGAAGACCTAATGTTTGATGTAGATCAAGCTATGTTTGACATGGAAAACGTATATGATGATGTACTTGCTGGTATAAATGATGATTTAAGAAGTGGATGAAAACTCACCAGCATTTTTCAAACAGTTTCTTTTTTGTTTCTAATATTTTCTGATTTTTCTGAATATTAGTAATAAGAATTTTCTCCTAGTTCTGTATATTTTCCTTACTAATACCATATAGAACCAGTAATATTTGATTTAGTTACAGCAGGTGCTGGTCTCTTTTCTTCATTGTACTTATTTTAAAAACTCTGACTTTAGTGATATGGATCTTTCTTTACCTGTACTTGTTCTCCTGCTAAGATTCCTGATAAGAGGCTCAAAAACAAGGAGAATAAACTCCTCACCTAACAATGTAGTGAAGACCTGATGAACTCTATCACATCTTGAGACGCGATTTCATTGTTCTACAATGAATGGAAACCAAAAGGGGCATATTCCCCAGGATGGCCTTATAGTGAATATATCTACATTAACAGGACAATATTGGGACACTTTTATTTAAAAAGATGTAACTTCTTACTTAAAAAGGCCTCCATACTAGGCCTTTAGGAAAGTGTGTCAACCATTGGATTCTATAGCAGACTAGGGGGAAAAATTCTGGAAAAGCAGCATCTACCAGATACTAAAACTGCAGAAAGGTTTTCAGATAACTTCTGCAGGGGAGAAAGTTTTCAAAAAGCTGAGGCCAAGAGGTTGCAATGCAGGACTATTTCCTCAAATGCTGGCCCACACTGAACTACTCTGCAACATTGTTCTCCAAATGGAAATGGCAAATTTTACCAAATAACGAGAGAAGTACTAGTACTAGAAGGGCTAGATAAAGCTCTACAAGGACTAGTCACCAATGGAAAGTCAGATACTTACGGCATAGACTTAGAGTTCATGATCCACAAGTAGTAGTGGATAAAATATATCTTCTTAAGTATAGTAAAAATTTTTAAATATGTTTTTGTTGATTTTTAGAAAGAGAGGAAGGGAGAGAAATATAGAGAGAGAAACCTCAATGAGACAGAAACATCATTGATTGGCTGCCTCCTGCACATACACCCCTCACTGGGGATTGAGTCTGAAACCTGGACATGTGCTCTGACCAGGAATTGAACTAGTGGCCTCTTGGTTCATGGGTTTGCGCTCAACCACTGAGCCACATCTTCTGGGTGGGTATAGTGAAATTTACAAAGAATAACTGATAGGCTTATTATAGTGAACCTGCTGCAGCCTTGACATAAAACTTTTAACGAACACTATTTTCCTCATTAGTTCATTTTGTTCATTAGATCTCATATATGAATAAAATCATATGGTACTTGTCTTTCTCTGACTAGCTTATTTCACTTAGCACAATGCTCTCTAGATCCATCCATGTTGTCGCAAAGGGTAAGATTTCCTGCTTTTTTATGACCAAGTAGTATCCCATAGGGAGCAGGCTGAGAGCTGTCAGGGGTGGGTGCCTGGGTGGTTGTAGATGGAGGGATTGAGCAAAAAAAAACCCCACAAACAAACAACAACAAGTCATGGACATAGACAACAGTGTGGTGATTGCATGGGGGTTGGTGGGGTTGGTGGAGGAGGGTATAAGGGGGATAAATGGTGATGGATAGAGACTTGACTTGGGGTGGTAAACACAATACAGTGTACATATGATGTGTTGTAGAATTGTGCACCTGAAACCTGTATAATTTTGTTAATCAGTGTTACTCCCAAAATTCAATAAAAAAGAAATACAAACTATCTTTAAAAAAAGAAATTTTGACTATTGAGAGATGGAAACAGTATGAATTTAAACAAAGTATTAACTGGTATTTAGCCACAATAATCCTACCCATACCAGAAGGGGAAAATGTAATAGTTAGAGGGCCCCCATATCAAAACAAAGAGGGGTCAAATAAATGTGTGGGAAATTCACTGATCATACTAATTCCATGCCATACAGTATCCTTGCTCTCATTTGGAAGAATAACTATCCTTCAGATAAGTCCATGGACACTTGTTGTATTCCTTTTAAGAGAACGACCTTTGCATCTCATAACATGGGCAACAACTTTGTAAAGACATAAAAATATACCATTAGGCAAAGTAGTATAACCAAATTACGAAGAAGTGACATATAGAAGTCAATCCACACTGGTAGAAACCAGACTATACCAATTCATATAGAGTCCTAAGGCATATTATAGTCAAAAGGATTAAAAGGCATTTAATTCAGATAATATCACAGTTAACCAACATGACAGATGCTGCATCTAATATAGAAGTCTGCATACACAAATAATTGGTTACCTTTAAAGGTAAATGGGGGAAATTATAGACTACAACCAGGTTTTATTTGGATGAACAGTAGCAGGAGAAACATAACTACTGAATTTCAGGGCAAGTTTAGTTAACAAATTTAGGAAAGAGACTGCTTTATCAAGAAAAAACACCACAGACCCCTTTGAAAGCTCAGAATTTATGGAGCTGCTCAAACATATTAGTATGAAAAGTTTTACAATAATAGACTGCTATATGGAAAGATTGAAAGAGTTGACGAGAATACAGGAGAATTAGAGGGAGTGTACAATGACACAAAGAGAAGAAATAAAAACGATATCATTAAGCAATTACTATAGATAATTACAGGCCATATCACACAGCAGCTTGAGGAAATTTGATGCTGTAATAACTGGACAAACTGAGCCTTAATTTTTTCAGTGTAGGGGACTCTAGATATACAGTATTTCCAAAATTTTCAAATAAGAGATGTGCAAAAGGGGAATGCTAAATTAACCTAACTGGAGCAGTAGAAAAGCAAGAAGAATGTATATCCTACCATTCCAATAAAAATGATTTTATAAGGAAGATTAGTGATAATAGTTAATCAAGGAAATCTATACATGTAGCCACCAAGAAGAATAATACAGGCACTGGATAGAAGTTAATAGAATCTATACTTTTAAAAATAATAAGTTTTTAATTTTTATTGAAGTATAGTTGGCATAGAATAGTATATTAATTTCAGATACACAACACAGTGCATCAACTTTTATATACTTTATGATGTAATCACCACACTAATTCTAGTAACCATCTGTCTCCATGCCGAGTTATTACAATATTATTGACTACGAGAGGCCTGGGGCATGAAATTTGTGCATGGGCTAATCGCCCCCAACAGCTCTCCCCTACAGGCCTTGTTGCTCCCAACTGCCCTCCCCTGCTGGCATGATTGCCCCCAACTGCCCTTCCCTGCCAGCCCGATGGAGCCCATCTGCCCTCTCCTGCTGGCCCGATCACACCCAACTGCCTTCCCCTACAGGTCTGGTCACCCTCAACTGCCCTCACCTGCCGGCCTTGTCACCCCCATCTGATCTGACCCCCCCTGCCAGCCTGGTCACCCCCAACTACCCTCGCCTGCAGGACTGGTCACCCTCAACTGCCATCCCCTGCCGGCCCTATTGCCCCCAACTCCCCTCCCCTGTGGCCCTGGTCGCCCCAAACTGCCCTTCCCTGCAGGCCTGGTCACCCCCCAACTTCTCTCCCCTGCCAGCCTGATTGCCCCCAACTGCCATCCCCTGCCAGCCCGATCGCCCCCAACTTCTCTCCCCTGCTGGCCATCTTGTGGCCACCATCTTGTGGTGGCTATCTTGTGGTGGCCATCTTGTGACGACATGGGGGCGGCCATCTTTTGATGACGTGAGGTCGTCGTGCAAGGGACACCTAGGCTATTATTGGTATAAATATTCCCTGTGCTGTACATTACTACATCTCCATGGATTATTAATTTTTTTAACTGGAAATTTTTACCTCATAATCCCCTTTATCTTTTTCTTTTCTTTCATGTCCCCATCCCCTCTGGCAACCATCAGTTTGTTCTCTATTTTTATGAGTCTTTCTTTGTTTTGTTTGTTAATTTTTTAGAGTCCAAGTATCAGTGAAATCACATGGTATCTGTCTTTCTCTGACTGACTTATTTCACTTAGCTTTAATTAAAAGTTTAGAAACAGCCAGGGAATATGTAAACTCTGCACTAGAAGTTTGGACTTTGGGAAATTGGGCTATAATTTTGTGTCAAAATAAAAAAAAAGCATAAATACTTGAGCAAGATCATGAAACATACCCGAGGGGAGTCCATAATTTGCTACAAATTCTATTTGATGAGTAATTGAACTGTAAATGGACAGATCTGGTGTTCCTCAAATATAGATACTGAAGGGTAGCTATTTCTCCTACTAGAATTCTGGAATATGAACTTTATACAATTCTACAATAGTTCAGTGTGAGCTTATTAAAACTGCTAGTATTAATCAGAGAACACAAGCAACCATGCTAACTCAGGCAAGTCATTAAATAAACCAAGAGGAATCTGTGAGACTCTTCCAGACCTTGAAACAAGATAAAGATTGAACAAGCCTATAAAACAACAAATGGTTAACATGGTCTTTAGGTATCAAAGCAGAAACATGCTACAACCCTGTAATACGTGGCTAGCCACTTGGTAAGTGGGTCACCTGGAAAGATTGTATTATAATGACACCTCAGGAATAGATAAAATATATTTCAAAGTTTCCTTTGATTATGTGATTGTATGTGTTTAAGAACCAGGTTAAAATGTAACCCTGCTTCAAGCAATGACTTTTGTATTAAGTATGATTATTCTTTGGAACAGAATTAGAAATAGAATCTATAGTGATAAGACATAAGTGTAGGATATAAGAAAATACTTAGGAACAAGAGCTAGTAGGGAATGTACTTTTAGGAGAGAAAAGAAAAATAATAAGTTGCCAACAGTTATGCAGCTGTTTATGGTGGAAAGCCGTGGCATAGAGTTAGTTCCTAAGCAGGTTTATGAACTTAGCTTTGTTTTTGTCATATGCAAATTAACCAACCCTAAGCTGTTGATACTGATAGAAATAACCGTCTGACAAGTGACACAAGTCATGCACTTAAAACCCAATTAGAAGGAGATATATTAACTAACTTGCCAGTCTACTGACTGGATGCCTCTGACTTGAATCTGGCATCTCTCCTCCAAGAGAATGAAGAGAGTGCTTGTTCTTGATCCAAACTAGCCCTTTTTT